GGTATTTCCCCTGTGGACTGTGTGCTGCCAGGCTGCAAGCAGGTCAATTGTGTGTGGGAACTTCAGGAAAAGGCACTTGGAATAGTCTTCTGTATTGATTTCCTTACTGATTTTTCCTTTATAGGGCTACTTGGTGTGAATTTTCTAGGAACTAGCATGTGGAAATGAATTCTCTTTGTTTCTTACTGATTAATACTCAAGGGTTTTCTTTTTGTGTTCTTTTTCATGGTCACTGATACTCTCTGGACAAGTGAAAGTGTTCTTTCACCTTTGCCAGATACTCAAAGGTATAATTTCATATTTCAGTGTAAATAAGTTACAAATGCCTACTTTTATCTCTTCCCTATCACTCTAATTATAGTGTAATTTTCCAGGCAATCTGAATGTGTCTTTTTGTACCAGTAATATTTTTTTTTTTATTTAGAAGAGTTTCTGAATTAATCCTGTGGCTTTTTGGAGTGTGGATGGTTTGGGTAGATCATTTGGTTCCACCCCCCTGCCATGGGCAGGGACACCTCCCACTAGAGCCGGTTGCAACAAGCCCCATCCAACCTGGTCTTCAACACCTCCAGTGAATGAGCATCCACAGCTTCCTTGGGCAACCTGTTCCAGCATCTCACCCCCCTCACAGGAAACAACTTCTTCCTAATTTCTAATCTACATCTACCCTCATCCACTTTGAACCCATTACCCCTTGTCCTGCCATGACAAGCCCTTGTAAAAAGTCCCTCCACAGCTTTCCTGTAGGCCCCTTTCAGATACTGGAAGGCTGCTACAAGGTCTCCCTGGAACTTTGTATGAAAAAAAAGCTTTAAAAGCCCTTCCTAAGCTCCATTGTACTGCAGGACTTGGCAGATCAGAGTACTGAGTTTTGTTGCATGCCTTAGTTTCAGATATGGGTGAGTTGTGATTGTTTAGAATTTGGTTTTGTCAGTCATAAGGTATATTATTCTTGCAGGAGTTGGCTCTTCTGGTCTGACTGTGCTGTCTCAGATCAACCTCATCCCTTTGTAATGCAACAGCATAAATAGCACAGGTTACTTACTGAAAGGTTTGGTGGTGGTTTAATCTTAAAAGACTCTCTAGTCTTAACTGTGGCTTCCCTGGGGCCTGAAGGTTTGACCCTTAGGACATTCTGGATTTTTTCAGCACAACTAATGATCCCACAAATTCTGTCCATTGCCATCTGCTCTGGAAAGCACCTTCCTTTCTGTTGTCAAACAATACAGCTGTTGCCTTGGGGAAGGAATTCAACCTCTGCTGGCCCAAGGACTTTGGGAACCTCACTGTGTGCAAGCTAAAAGCCATTCCCTGCCTATTCAGAAAGTCTGGTAGGACTTCCTAGCTCCAGAAAAGGGCATTTCAGGTGCAGTGCCAGACATAGTTTCTCTGCCTGAGAGACTTCTCATTAACCAACCCAAGAATTACCATGTACTGATCCAGTTTTATTTCAGATTTTCCTCCATCTGAAGGCTGGATATTGTCCAAAGAAAAAAGGTCCTAGAACAGACTAGCAGAGTGGTTAATATATTAAATAACCAATGTAAAAAAAAATTGCTAAATACTACAGGCTGTGTAGACAAGGTATTATAAATTAACTATATATATTAATTATAAATTAGTATTTGCTTAGTGTTGCATTTGACTGAGTTCACCACAGAGGAAGAATGGCAGCTATGATGAATGTTTGTTAGATTTTACTTCACTGGTAATATCTCTTGTAATCAAACAGTAATGTTAACAACTTGATACAAGTTTTGGGATATATTCTAGTTTGAGTTTTAAAAGCCATCCTGTTCTAGCCTGAAATATTTTTAAATTCCCCAGAAGAGGAAGATGCAGAACTGCTACAGTGAGTTCACAAATTGCCCCTGCAACAGGGGAAAGACCTGCTGTCAATGTTGAAAATATAACCTTCTCTAGTTCCTTTTCCTCTACACTGCTCTATTCAGGAAGATTGAATCTGTGTTCCTGCTCTTGGAGGGTAAAAGAAACAAAACTAATTCTTACTCCAGTAGTTACAACTTGTAGAGGAATTGTTTTGAAGTGTGGTGGAGTAATGGGGCTTTGGTTAATAGTCTTGAGTAGCAGCAGTGTGGATTTTGAGTTGGCAAGTTATGCCTTGCCCCTCACTTACAAATGTGTGTGGAAGGAGGAGGATTTCCTCACAGATAAGATTCCTCCTCCTACTTTTATCCAGTTCATCTTATCTTAAATAAAACATGAACGAAATCAACAAGGTGATTATAGTCAGATTTTTAAAGTTGCCTCCTTGTGCCTAAATGTCCCTGTTTAAAAAGAGGAGCCAGTGATACTTGCACTTCTTTTTTCATGCCCCCCTTAGTCACATGCAGACTCAAGCTCCCTGTGGGAGTGGAGTATATCACTGAATAAGGGGATTTTTCTCTGAGACTGGGATCTGGACTGGCTGCAGTGACTCATTCATCCAAATGCCTCTGGTATAGGATTTTGGTTTCTGTAGACTGAATACAGATACCTGCCCTGTCTGTACAGACCATTGAAATGGGCAGAGAGAACAGCACTTGCTCAGCTCTTACATCTACCCAGTGTTCCAGCTGTTGAGATTATACTGAGTCAGATCCTGGCTTCTTCCTTATAAGAACATATTTATATAGTGTGGGATTTTTTTTTGTAGGAAGAGCCCAAGGGAAGAGTCGTGCACTTCTTTGCAGTTAATGTGACAGCTGAATTTGGGTAAAGCTCATATATTTTCCTCCTTGTGACTTCCTGAGTTCCTTTGTGACATTTCTGAAGGGATGTATGTTCCTCTTCCCTTTCTTAGTCTCACTAAATTTACCCTTGTGGCTTAGAATAATGTGAATCTTGCAGTCCTAGGCCGGCCTCTGGGTTCTAATATCCTGCATACCAGCACTCCCACTCCACTGGCCCATCTTAGTTCCTGTGATTTTTCTGGTTTTTTGTGAAATATGGCCCATGGACTAACCATCCTCTGCAGCAGCTGTTGACAAAAGTTAAGTTAGTTTAATGGTAACAAGCTTGGGGGTTTTCTCCAAAGAAAAGAGACCTACTAATGGCAGTCTAAATTCTGACACAGAGCATCTTTCTAAGCAGTGGTTCTCCTGCTTCCAGTCTGAGCTGTTGGGCAGCTGCTCAGTTCCTTGGGATTCAATTGATCATTGTTATATTATACCTGAAGCAACTGCTGAGAGTTTGGTTGGTGTTTAGTTTGTATTGCTGTGGTGTTCAGGAGCCTTAATTATAAAGCCTGTTGTGGTAGATAATGTAGATTAACATAGATAATGGGGTAGATTTTTCCCTGGGGATAATGCATGGGGGCAGAGAACAGGAACAGAAGTAAACATCACTCCTTGGATCCAGTTCTGGAGAGCTCTGCTATGGAGCTGTGCCTTCATAAAATGGGCAT